GTTTTCTTATTGAAGCTCTTCATCGTCATTATGCTATCAGCAACAGATTGGAAGCATTGAGTTATAGGAGTGCCGTTGGAGTTGGGGTAAAGGCAAAGTGACGGAGCTGGGGGAAATATTCCTCTGAAATGCGGGGCATGTCAACTGGGTTGGGATCTGTTGAGATGAGTTGAGATGAGAGGCTTCAGCTGGTGGATGCGGGGCCAGCTCTGCATAACAGCGACTGTGTCGTCACCCACCACACTTTGCACCAGACATGTGTATGGGCTGCGGCATATGCCTGGCCATGGGAGCTGTGGGGTGACTGCTGCTGGTGTGGTTTTATGCGACGTGTGGGTGGACCAGCAATGCTTTAGACGTGGATGAAGTAGAAACAAGTGCGAGAAGCTGCCTGAGTGGAAATCACGAATGCCTAGTAGTGTGTGGGATAGTGGACGATGAAGTTGCCTGCTTGAAACCCTCAAATTTCGGAAGTTAATGCTGATGCGAGCCAATGTGCTCAAGCTCCCTAAACCTCGTCTGCCTTGTCGAGCACGAGTGACAAAAATAGGCAACGTTAAAGTTTAAGCGCAGCATGAAGCACCGATTTGAACCATTTTTGCTCGATATTTCTACTCTTGCTGCTGCGACTAGCAACTTTTCATCCGTGCCTGAGGTGGGGTGACCGCACCTGGCTCGAGCCGCACAGAGTCTCGCCACCGCAGGTGGAAGACGAGGACAGCGCAACAGATCCCCGCTCCCAAGGGTTGGCTTGCTAAGCCACAGGAGTTGCGAGTCTAGCACCCGCTTATACGGGTCTCAGTGTCGCTATGTGTCGCTGGAGATTGAAGATCGGGTTATAAAGCTTTCTTGAATCACCAGTGTTCGGCATCATTCAGGGGGGGGGTGTTTCCATGCTTGTTTTCAGAATTTCTATTTACGAGGACTTCCGGGACATCGTCAAGGTTGCTGCCGGGGACAAGCTCGCTGGCTTTTCGCAAGCCATTTTTTCTTTAGCTTTCAAGGCCACCCGCTGGGGATCCACGGTAAGATGCCAACGTAAAGAAGGCAGTACAAGCATTGGGCAAAAGGTTTAGGAGAGCAGCATGTCGGCGCCAACAGTACACGTAGTTGTCGTCGTCGTGAGGTTGTGGTGGTGGTGGTGGTGGTGGCCTTGGAGGCGGCGGCAGCTGCGGTAGCGGGAGGGTAGTCGTCGTCGTAGTAGTAGCAGTAGTAGTAGCAGTGGCAGCAGCGGCGGCAGCAGCAGCAGCAGGAGTAGTAGTAGTAGTAGTAGTAGTAGTAGTGGTAGTGGTAGTGGTAGTGGTAGTGGTAGTGGTAGTAGGAGTAGTAGTAGGAGTAGCAGGAGTAGCAGGAGTAGCAGGAGTAAGAGGAGCAACAGGAGTAGCAGCAGTAGCATTTGTCGTAGTAGTCGTTGTCGTAGTAGTTGTAGCAGTCGTAGTAGTAGCATTAGTAGTAGTCGTCGCCGCGGTAGCAGTAGCAGTAGCAATAGCAGTAGCAGTAGCAGTTTGAGTAGTAGCAGTAGTAGTTGGAGTAGTAGTTGTAGTAGTAGTCGTCGTCGTCGTAGTCGTAGTCGTAGTCGTAGTCGTAGTCGTAGTCGTAGTCGTAGTCGTAGTCGTAGTAGTAGTCGGAGTCGTAGTCGTAGTCGTAGTAGTAGTAGTAGTAGCAGTAGTAGTAGTAGTAGTAGTAGAAGTAGTAGTAGAAGTAGTAGTAGTAGGAGTAGTAGTAGTAGTAGTAGTAGTAGTTGTGGTTTTGGTAGTGGTAGTGGTACCGTACCACCAGTAGCAGCAGTAGCCGTAGCAGTAGTCGTCGTCGTCGTAGTCGCAGTTGTAGTAGGTGTAGCCGTAGTAGTAGTAGTAGTAGTAGCAGTAGTAGTAGTAGTTGTTGTTGTTGATGATGGCATAGAGCCTGGGTTAAAAAGTAGTAGTAATAGTAGATGATTCCCTAGGAGCAGGAGCAGGAGTAGTCTCTTCGTCGTCGTCGTCGTGTTATCGCCGTCGTCGTCTTCGTCGGCTTAGTCAGAAGCCTGCGAAACTGCAGCTGATCATGGAATAGCACCTGCCCCTGCAGGGCAATCACTGCAGGCAACCGAGAAGGAGCCACGAACTCTGTTCCACTATACCTGCAATCAGAGGACTGAATCAAGCAAGCCAAAGGTGCCAACCTGCCTTGTGTCTAGAAGCGCCAAGGAAGACAGACTGATCAGATACTTTCGTTTCAACTGTCCCATACCCCTCTTGGACCCGCACACCCTGAGCCTGATCCGTACCAAGGTATAGTTTCGCCCTCACCGCCAGCGGCAAGCTTTTCACTTGGGGCTCCAAGATCCTCGGCCTGTGTTGGGTATGTGGACATGTGCTGACGCTGCAGCCAGTAGGAATCAGCATTTGTTACCAGTACGACTATCTGCGCTTCAGGACAACAACGGCAGCAGCAACAGCAAATGCTCCTGCTGCTGCCACCACCACCACCACCACCACTACCACGACCACTACCACCACTACCACCACCACCACCACTACAACCACTCCGCCGACGACTATCACTCCGCCGACGACTATCACTACGCCGACGACTACCACTGCTACTGCTACTGCTCCTGCTGCTGCTGCTACTACTACGACTACTACGTTTAATCTTACTGCTATCATTACCGCCGCTACTGCCACTGCTATTTTTCTATTCAACTACGAAGAGTACTACTGCTACTAGTGTTACGTTACGGGCCCTACTACCCCTACTGCCCTGCTGTCCCTGCTACCCTACTGCCCGTGCTGCCTCTCTGCTCCTATTGCCCCTAATGCCGCTACCGGCCTCCACTACCCTGCCGCCTACTGCCCCAGCTACTGCTCCTGCTGCTGCTGCTGCTGCTTCTGCTGCTGCTGCTAGTACTTACTACGGCTACCAGCGCGACGACTCCAACAATCCCTACGACGACCGCCACCTCCTCAGCTGGTGCTGCTATGTCCACTGCCACATGTTCTTGATTGCGGCTGCGTTTGCCACTTCTCCTGTGATTGAGATTATACTTCGACGGCGACGGCGGTAATATACTACATCCGGACAGTTTTGTTCCACAGTGATGGCAGTGAGTCATCGTTCTGGCTATAAAACATGCTACAGCAGTTTCTTAGTTTCGTTCGTGGTTAGCACCGCCGAGGGCTGCGCACCTTGAGATTCGGGTTTTCGGGCTTGGAGCAAAGATTTCGGCTGCCGCTAAGGCTGTCGGACTTAAGGTTTTGCGTTGCAGGGGCGAACATGCCCGGAATGCCTGAGCCAGAGGAGCAGTGGCTGCATGGTCCTCGGCGCAGAGGGCCCGAAGAATGTGGTGGAGCCCACACAGATTTCGTCCGAGGCCGTGTGGCTGACAGGTTTCAGATGTCTAGGGCGTAAGGCTAAGGCTTTCGGGGTGTGCATGGGGTGTTGAGGACTTGATCTCCTCAACGTTCCATGACCCAGCCGAACATAACAGGACACGCGACCTGGGGCTTGGTCTTCGCGGCAGTTCAGGGTATTCAGGGGTTGGTGGGGTGTTTTGAAAGCTTTTGACTCAGGGTTCCATGGCGGTGTTTGCAACATCGTCAACACAGGGGCTTGGGAGGGCGAGGTGGCTTCCCCAACCCTTAACCGTGGTGGCACCGCGAGTTTCGCAGCATGGATGCTATACATGTTCGGCGATACTTGTGCAGTTGGTGTTGCTGATTGTTGCTGTGTCAACTTTGCACCAAGTGCAGCCGTTGCGCAAATTTCCTAAGCTCCATGCCTGCAGAAGTCGGCAGGATCACTGATCCGGATCAGGGATCAGAAAGTGTCGCAGGGATCAACACAAGGCCCACACAAAACTCTGAACATCCTGGCAAGAAGACGAAAACGAAGGTCTTTCAGCACCAGAAGCTGTTGGATGTCGCCGCAGCAAAGGGCAGGTGTCTGGCCATCAGCGACTCTTGGCCGATCAGCGGTTTCTTTTGACTTAAGATGCTACTACTTCCTATGAGGGCAACGATCACTGATATGCATGACCAGTGACGAAGTCATTCGGAAAATCCAATCCACTTCTGCAATCTCTTAGCAATGATATCGCCACTCAATGTGGCTCCGAAACAGGGGCTCGCACGTGGAATTCGGTTCTCCAGGTTGCCGCGGTTACGTCGAGAAATAAACAGTTGACGCTATAGTTCGTCACCGTCCCACCATCTTGCAGAAGTACCGCTCCAAACCCCTGCAAATTCCAGACACAATGCAGGCCAATGGTGCTCTCAGCACCGCAATAGCGATCACTGTCGGATCCCTCGACAACTCTAAACTACAAAAACCGCAGAAGCAACCCCGAGCCCACACACAGACAGTGCCAAGGAGGAAGCCGAATATGTGAGCTAGACGCCCCGATGCTGCACGGAAGGTTGCAAAAAGGAGTGGGCATGGAGACCTGCCTAGAGTGGTCCGCTGGAGTCAAACTCCACCCAAGGGGGACTCGAGCTTCAGGGTTTCTTGTGAAGCACTCGGGTGCGAGAACGGCAGAGCTGGGGCCACTTCGAACTATGCTGATTGGTGATGGTGGTGATGGTGGTGGTGGTGATGACACTGATGCCTAGATGATGACGATGCAGCCCGAAGGTGGTGATGATGATGACGGTAGGCGGTGATGTCGATGCCGATCATCACAAGCAGTGCGCAACCCGGACGACCATGACCACGGAGATGATGCTGATGCAGTGATGCCGATCCAGATGTGTCATTACCGTCATCACCATCGTGAGGCCAACTTCAAATCAACCCCGAGCCTTGCTGGATTATGGCGATGGTGCAGCTCGAAGCTATGAAGGCTAAATCGTGTATCTCCCGACCAGACTGTCCTCAAAGGCACCGAAAAACAGTCTTTTGACCCCAGCTCTGCAAGCGAAAGGGAGTTGTCTACAGGGTCTGTTTTTTGTGTTGTGGTGTCACGCGACTTTTGTTGGAACCCCAGCAGTGGGTGTTGCTCTTCGTTTCCATGCTCAAGTATACATCCCGAACACCTTCTTCTGCTTCCTGAGAACATGATGGGGAGATGGAATCCGAAGCCCCCAAACTTTGAATGCCTGAACCGCAAGACTAAAGCCCCCAGTTCCGAAAGACCTATTAGCCAAATATTCGAGACACAGCAATGGGTGAACTGAGTCCTCACCCGCTCAACACTGAATCCTACACAAGAAGACCAAACAAAACTCAACCCTGCGAAACACACATGTTTTAGATTCCTTACATGCTTCATACGTTATGGCTGGTCTATGTAGTTTTAGTGCTTCGTGCCCTCCTCATGTAACCGAAGCAAGCTCCTTGGGAATGAAGCCGTGCCTGCTGGTGCAAGTCGAATCCCACGCCAGGCCGCTCCCTCCAAAAAGGCCGAGGCCGAATCACCAAGGCCTGGCGCCTGATTGCCGCAGGCCTTCGGGTTGAGCACCTCTTTTGGGATCCGCAGAGAGTTAGAAGCAGATTCAAGAAGAAGATCAGGAAGACTACTGTAGGAGATAGGGGGACAGCTAGTGTTCAGGGGTAAAGTATGGACACGAGCTCTCTTGTGGCTTTTCTTGGCTCAAAGACGATGCCCCTCAGGCAGGCAAGCCTACCAGTAGAAGCATGTAATCCTTCGTGGAACCTTGGTGTCACGTGTAGCACTCATTCCTTGGAACCTCAGCCATAAGCCGGCATTCTCCAGCCGACAACGGCGACAAGGAACACTAGCTCCGGTAGTCGTCTCCCTTATCCCAAACCCCACAAAGCTAAAGGACCGAAACCAACCCGGAGCCACAATCTCAAGCACAGGCGCGCACTAGTGCAAGGGCAAAACCCCAAAGCTAAACCTCGTCGAGACCTGACCCATGCAAGTGGCAGCATCATAGTCCCAATCTTCGCGAGCAGCAGCCATGGAGGACCCTGATGTTCTATCTTTCGATAGTGTGAGTTAAGGAGGGTCGAATCACATGGCAGTGACAGCTGCAACCCTGCAGCCGATGCAGCTTCTGGCTCATGTTGGCGATGATGATGATGATGATGAGGATGGCAACAGGCCCCAGCATCACCATCGTCATAGGCGAGTCATAAGCATTACGCATTATTGTCGCTGCGGCCGATGATGTCGTGATGCGGTTGTTGCTGTTGGTGGTGATGATGATGGTACTCTTGCTGGTTATTTTGTTGATTTTGATTTTCGCTTGCAACCAAGACCATGAACTTATCCATCGCAGTTCTCTTTTGCTACCCCTCGGCCCTATCAACAAAATGATCATCAAGCTTCGGTCAGAGTCGCCATCATCTTTTACCATGGGTATTGCTGTTCATGCTGCTTGGTCTGGGTGTGTTGGCGGCTTAGGTCTGTTTGGCCTCTTTAAGTCTTTACGTGTAAAGTGTAGAAGTGTAGAATCTAGAAGTCAGGGTTGAAACTGAAGGCTTCGGGCTTCGGTACAGTTCGAGGAGGTAATGCTCCAAGTCCTGAAGAACCGTAAACTGCAACTAGAGTGCGGCCACAAGCCATTCACATCGAATGGAACCTTCGCCACCGGGCCTTCAACAATGGAGTAGTAGTCAGACCCCTGCAAATTTCCAGAGTTGTGGTTGATTAGAGTCATTAGAGAGCAACGGCCAGCTGCAATCACGGCGTCTGAGCCTCTGTGATGTGGCATGCCGGAAAGCCTGCAAGAAGTGTTGATACTTGTTCCGACTAGGAACTAGGCATCATGAATCAAAAGCCCCCTTGAGCCAATCTCAAAGCCTGGATCCGGCGAGGTCTGCGCCCTAAACTTTTAGCCCGGTGGCCATGGGGAGAGTATTCTAGCATGCATGGCCAAGCCGTCGTGTCCGTGTCGTTCTTTTTATTGTTGCTGTTTTACAACGAAGCGGACTAGACAGAGGCCCTGATCATGGTTTGCGATGCTTCTAAGCTCGAACCAGTTTAGATAAAGCCCTCGAGAGCCCCCAAAACCGAAAACTTATGTAGAATCCGTTCTCAACTTTCAAAAAGCCCTAGAGCAACCCATGTAAATCAAATCCAGGACGCCGAGGTCATCGAGGATTGGGACGTCGAGGCCTGTCAAGCATGGCAGACGATGGATGCCGAGGAGGCCGGCGGGTTGGTAGTTCTTTTTGCCCATTGTTACAGCTAAGACGATTCAACGCAGAGATCTTTGCTTCCAGCCTGTAATCCCCAAACCATATACAGGTAGTTGGTCTCGAACAGGGTATGCGAATCGGGGCTGGCCTAAATGTCAAGCTTCCTCATGCTCTAAGCCTGCCATGTAAGAGGAGAATGCTGACCGGTTGTCGGAGACCTCAGTGGCCTCCTCAGCTCGTGGCTTGGCCTTCTTCGGCACGTTCCGTTGGCTGTGAGAGTCAGATTGCACTTCGGCTTGGCGTGTTCCAGCATATGGGCTTACAAGCGCGGACATGTGCAGGTATGCGTTGATGTGAGTAGAAAGCCAAATACAGGTATAGTTGCGAGCACAAATCTGAGTAAACCTAATAACCTAATCGCCAACCCGAGTACCAAGCTAGATAAGCCAGATAAGCAGTAAGTAGACCGATAGACACGCACAGATGCGCACACATGTATGAATTTTGTAGGAATATCTAAATGCATAGATGGATTAACTGATCTGTATAGTTAATTAGATACATAATGTACATATACATATATGAATACAATAAACAAGTAAACCAATCAGTTAAAAAGTGTGTATGTATGCATATATGTATATGTATATATATATATATATATATATATGTGTGTGTGTGTGTGTCCCACAGAGAGTAGTGGATAGATCTGCGGCGGCATTGAGAAATCCACGTCTGTAACTCCGTAATGTATGTATGCATGTGGTGCGAGCGCCAAATTGTATGTATGCATGCATGTATGTAGGTATTTGTGTATTTACGTGTGTATGCATGTCTTTGCATGTATGTGCATGAAAGGATTGATGAATGGATGGATGGATGTGTGTGTGTGTGTGTATCTTTTCCTTTTGGTGTGTGAGTGAGTGAGGGAGTGAGTGTGTGTGTGTGTTTTTGTGCTTTTGCTGGTTTGTTTCTGAGTTTGTGTTTGTTTTTTGTTGTGCATGTGCAGACATATATGACTGTATGTAGGCTCCTCTATTTTTGCACTCCTTTCTCGCGACAAGCTCAACCGTCAAGCGCTTTTGCTAGTTTGACTCAGGCAGGGACGGTGCTGGGGCTTGTGTTGGCGGTGGTGGGCTGTGCACTGGTGGACTGGATAGTGGCATTGGAGGTGGTGCGACCACTATGATCATTGCATATCAGACGCTTACGTCATTGCCGATCTCGTTGAGGTTGTTATCTGCATTCCCACAACTGCATAGATATGCGTCAACGAAAGCACACTAGTAATTAGTAGCAGAAGGTGCTACAGGGTTAGGAGGCAGAGGGGGTTCGGGATGGGGTTTGGATCAATGGCGGCTAGCCGGAATCCGAGCCATTTGAAGGTTGCCTACCAGTGCCGTGACTAGAGCCGGAACTTCAATTCCAAAGCCTAACCAAGAAACAAAGCAGAGCCTAAACATGAACATCCAACATCCAAAGTCTTCAAAACCTCAACAGCAAAGCCCGACGTTCTCAAGCTGTACTGTACTACGAACATCTACGAACAATGACAGAAGCTTTGGGAGACTCTCTCATTGAGCACTTCAATTTCCCGATGCCGCCCTGGCCCGGAGCCAAGGAAGGTATCGCCGTACGCGGAGTCCAAGCTTCCAAGACCATCGCCTGCAGTTATGCCAGGCTTAATTACTTTGGCTGCAGTGTAAGGACCGTCATTATGCAAAGTTTCATGAACTGTCCAGCAGCTGTCTGCTGGCACTCGCGCCGACACCCCCTTTCCGAAGTCAAGCTACATCTTTCCTGCCCCAAGGGCCGTCGAGCGACCCCGGCACGGACGGCTCCGTCGCGTACTCTTGCATCGACTTCTGGCGAAGGTGCAGAGGGTTTTGGAAGATGCAGCGAGGGCTCCCGCTGCTTTGTAGGTTTTGGAGTTGGGGCTTCTTCGTGCTTTACAGCCAAGAGGGCTCTAGTCAGCACATGAGCCCGTTCCGTATTCGTTCTGTACCACTCTCGCGATGATCGCGCATGTTGTTGCCGTTGAGGTTTATGGTCATGACTAATTATCAAGCCAATCAAACACACTAGCCTCAGCTCGTCAACCGCACAATTGCTGTCCAGTTTTGCGCAGTCGGTATCTTTGGCCGACAGTGATGTAAAGTAGAAACACATGGGCGGTTTTGCTGAGCGGCATCTATGGCCGGTTTTTGCTGGTCGGTGCCGATGCTCGTTGTCGTTGCTGGTGGCAGTAGTGGCGATGAAGGTGGCAGTAACAGTAGCAGTAGCAAGTTCGGTTGTGTAGTCGTAGTCGTAGTAGCAGTAGTGGTAGCAGCAGTAATGGCAGCAGCAGTTTGAGTAGTAGCAGTAGTAGTAGTCGTCGTCGTCGTAGTAGTAGTAGTAGCAGGAGTAGTAGTAGGAGCAGCAGCTGTAGTAGTAGTAGTAGTAGCAGTAGTTTTAGAGGTAGAAGTAGAAGAGCAATTAGAAGTAGAAGCAGCAGCAGACGTTGCAGTGGCAGTAGCAGTTGCAGCAGAAGCAGCAGTAGCAGCAGCAGCTGTACCCTTGTCCCTGTCCCTGTCCCTCCCACTGTCCCTGTCGTTGTAATTGTAGTTATAGTTGTTGTTCCGGTTGTGGTTGTTGCTGCTGCTGTTGTTGTTGTTGTGGTCGTGGTCGTCGTTGTGGTTGGGGTTGCGGTTGCGGTTGCGGTTGCGGTTGTCGTGGTCGTGGTTGTGGTTGTGGTTGTGGTTGTGGTTGTTGTCGTGGTTGTCGTCGTCGTCGTCGTCGTCGTGGTCGTGGTTGTTGTCGTTGTCGTCGCTTGTTCTCGATTATTGTTCTTCTTCTTGATGTTGTTGTTGTCGTCGCTGTTGTCGCCATGCTGCGTGCGCACTCGCTGGGCGATTGTGTGCAAGGGGTGGGCACAGGCTCTCGCGGCGTCTCTTGTGCGTGCACTCGCGTGTGCGAGGTCGTGGTTGCAGTGTGCGCGTGAGGGGCGAAACCTGCCCCTGTATATAGCGGGGGTATAGGGCGACACGGGTTGTACTCGTGGTTTGGACAATGGGGACCCAGTGTGCGCTTCCACCGGGACCGGGGAACGACAACCAATACTGGCATGGAGACCCAGTATGTGATTGCACCTCGTTGTTGTTGGTGCTGCCGCTGCTGCTGCTATGTAGTCGTCGATTGGGGCTCGTACTTGCTCGGTTGGTGGGCCCCGTTTCACTCTTTTTGAGGGTCATGCACGGTGTCACAGAAACTGGTTTCAAAAGCATTCCTAGCTCTCGAAAGACTGTGGTCTGTGTTTTGTAACTACCAGTTCGTGACAGTATTACTGCTGGCTTCCTTATCACCCGAACAAGCCGCTGATCAGGCTCGCTGGTACAGCGAGTGCGCAAGGCAGGGCTGTAGTAGGGCTAACCGTTTTGAGTGGGTTCCAGCAGTGGCACAGTCAGAATGTAGGCCTAATTTCACAGCTTGGGCGTCAGCTTCACGGTGCGAGGGTCACAAGCAAGGTCTTTGATTGTGAGGACTGCTGGACTGCAAAAAGTAGCGCGAAGGTCGACTACCTGCTCTTACTTTGCTCGGTACCTATGTGCTTTCAGTTGCTTCTTCCCGTGTCTGCTCTGAAGCTGTGGGCGAGGGGCGTCAAGACAGTGGGAGAGAGAGTCGATTAATTGCGCCGGTATCAGCTTCTGCAGGTTGACATTAGATGTGACTACGAAGGTCGCCAACTGGGAAGCCGGACCAAGCCCAAAGATCTGTGCATCCGACAAGACCGAGGGTGCGAACATCCACCCAGAAGCAGACTTCGACATAATATTTTCAGGGATGTATGCAGGGTCCTTGTAAGGCCCGAAAATCTAGATGCCAAATCGTGGCAGATTGCGATTTCTTCCTTACCGATTTCCTGCCACGCTCGGACATGGGTCCCATGAGTCGTTTGGCTTGGGTTTGAGGTTCAGGGATGTGGCGGCAGTAGGCTGTGAGTGTGGAGGGGTTTCAGGTTGAGTTTGTCAAGCTCCGGATCCTGCATCCCTTAAGCCGACAGGTGGCGCTTCATTTGCAAGACGTCTCCGGCCGACGAGGAGGCTCGGGTGAAGAGATCCCACAGGCCCAAAGCCCTCAACTGGCTACGTCACTGCCAGTACGTGGCGTCTCCGAAAGTGAGCCGAAAAACCATTGGCACTTCGGAGGTTCTCGACCACCACTCGCTGAGAGATTCCGGCATGCGAGAGAACGAGGCAATCCAGGCTGATGTGGATTTTGTGTCTTTGAGGTTTCCGGATTTTGATGTTTTCAGTTTACAGGTTTAGGTCGTGGCCTATTGCTGTCATTTCTTCTCTTGGTCTAGGATTCTGGAGTCTTTGCGAAGCCTGACAGGTTGTTGCAGGTCCTGAGGTACCTAACGGCCTAAGCTGCCTTGACTCACAGCGTCAGGTGGTCCTTTGGCAGGTTCTCGACCATCGCTGGCCGAGAGCGTCCGGAACGCGGGAAAGCGGAGCAGTCCAGGCCGCTGTGATTCTGTGTTTGTGGGTGGATGGTGGCGTTGGGCGGGGGAGCGGGGGGGAGGGGGTGGGGTTGTTGGGTACTCCGTCTTGTGTTGTGTAGAGCTCAAAGTTGCGGGTTTGTAATTGTAAAATGCTTCTCTGAAGCTTCATTTCTGGGTTTCTACAGAGTGGGCTCAGCTCTCCATGTCGGTCCGTGGCTTTGTACGTGCTTGTTGATGCTACGACGACTTCTGGCGAGCTGCTTCACGAATGCATTCACACTTGATTACTGGTGAGCTGTTTTGTTTGGGGTTTAGAGTTATTCAGAGTTCAGGTAGTGCCAGGTTTCAGGAGTTTGGGTCTGGAGTCTGGAGCAGCGATCAGAATTTGAGCTCCTCTGTTCTGGTGTAGCCATGGCTCTTGTTGAGGACCTGGTTGAGACTTCGGGACTAGGGTCACCTGGATATAAGGCTAGATTTGATTGTGGTTGAAGTGAGATGGGTTGAGGACGCAAAACTTGATGAAAAGGCCAGCTGCAGTGCTGGCAATCCAGAGGTTCTCGACCGTCGCTCGCGGAGAGCGTTCGGAACGTGGGAAAGCTGAACCGGCCAGGCAGATACCACTTCTTGTTGCTTGGGGGAGTGTTCCGTTTCAGTTCTTGGGTGTCCAGGGTTGGGGCTGCAAGGTTCAAGCCTGTTTTGCTTTTCTGGCTTCCGACACGGTCTTGAATCGAAGTCTTTCTCCAGGATTGAACAGGGTGTCAAAGGGCTTCATGCCCGGCCGGCCCTTAGCAAGAGCTATATTGAATACAGTATGTGTCACATCTTTCGGCCGTCGTCGGTTGCCAGGACGGGGCGATTCATTCGTTGATATTTCAACAGAGCCGGAGCTTGAATGGCCACCAATTATAACAGATTGGAGGCTCGTTTGACTCCGGAAAAAACGTCACTAAATTGGCTGCACATTGAAGCGAAAAAGGTACTCCGTTGGCTCTGACTTCGAGGCAGAATATACGTTACCTGCATTGCCTCACCTAAAAGCAGAATAATAGAGAAAAGATGTTTATTTGGTGATGGATTCTGGACATTCTCGCCCCCCGGATAAGTGTTCAAGGCCTCGCAAGACAGATGCAGAGCATCCGATTGGATGAGTATCAAGTTCTCCCTAATATTGACTGCAGCTCCCCCAACATGGTGGTTACCGCCAAAACGTACATCTGGAGGACCAGTCCCTCCAAATGAGTGTCTATCCCCACGAGAAAGTTTTCTTTCCGTTAGAGTGCCAGTTTCTGTCCCTGTCCCCGAGTATGATCTAATTCTGCCCAAGGCCGCCGTAAAAAGGATCCATTTCCGGTTGAAGTTCTTTGATATCTTGGGCTGCTTTGGCTTGGAGTTGTTTAGGGTTGCACTCGTCAGGTTTCAGGGGTTGGGGGCTGGAGTCTGGAGCAGCGATCTGCGTTTGAGGGCCTTTCCAGTGTCGCGATGGTGCGGACTTGGGACTTTAGGGTTCCGGAGGCAAGGATTTCAGGACTGTTGCCACTGGGTGCAGGTTTCAGACTTCATAAGGTTGCGCGAGAATTGCGCGAGCAGTGCCGCCAATTACAGGAGGTACTTGGAGCACAAAGAGCCTATGGAGGCTAAACTAAAGAAAGGTCAGCCGTATTCTGCAATGCTGGCACTCCGGAGGTGCTCGACCAGTGCTCGCCGAGAGAGTCCGGAATGCAGGAAAGCAGGTCAATCCAGGCCGACAGCGCACGCGTAACGGTATACAGTATATACAGAAACAAGTCGCATGAATACGTCCATCTCAATAACAAGTTACAGAGCTCTCACAAGTGCGAATATACATGGTAGCATAGATGTTTAGATGTATGCATGTATAAGACAGAAATGATTCTGTATCATATCATCTGTATATATATATATATTTATATTTATACTCGCGTATATGTATGTATATACATATATACACATACGTATACATATAATAGAAATTCACGGGATGGATATGGATGGATGGGGGGAGGGATGGATGGATGTTTCGCTATGTATGTATGAATGTACCTATGTATGTATGTATGAATGTTTGCGTGTATGTGTGTACGTGTGTGCATGTACATGCGTATATGTTGATTTAGATGCAGTGTGCGGTTTGATTGGATGTGTCTGTTCAGCAATAAAGGCACACGTGTCATACTCTTCCACAAGGAGGGTTATAGCTAAGGGGTGAGATGACACCTTGAGCTATTCCAGCTTTTGAGCAGCCTCTGGCGTAGATGGTACGAGAGTTTCAGGGCTTGTTTGACTTGTAGTTCGAAGCCGGTCAGCACAGACTTTCAGGATTGGCTAGCGACTCACAGACGGGTGAGGAGCGTGAGACTAGCGAGGTTAAGGATGCAAGGCTTGGGTTTTCAGGGCTCCAAAGTTTTTAGATCTCCAGAATGGATTTGTGTGCAGGCAGCGACATTTCGACTCACGCCTGTCGGCCCTCATTGACATAGCTTCACGAAGCCCTCCTGACAAAGCTGACATATTACCGTGTCTTGCAAGAGAAATTGGTTCTAGGTTGCGCAGTGCCCGCAAGCACCGCTGCTCGTCCTACCGCCCATACCCTGCCTTGTGATTCGCACAGCAATGCAGGAGGCAAAAACACCTGTAACCTGACCCCCCCAAATAAGTTGCCGCCTAATTGGTTCGCAGTCGGATCCGCACCAGCCCGGCAGACGTCACCTGAGTGGTCCAAGCGGCAGCCCTCCAACGGTCGCCACGGCAGAGTTTGTCTGTTTCTTGCGTTCTACTTGCAGGGTGTCCTAGACCTCAGGAGTTTTGGGCAATCAGCTATATGGTTTGAGTCGGGCCGTCAAGCATAGAATTGCAAAGCTGTTTTGGTGGCTGGTAGGTCTAGGGGCCAACAAGATGTTCACGGGCCGTCTAGCCGTCTACAATGTCAAGGCTTGGGCACTGCATCTTATGTCTGACACGGCCTGGATTTCTATGGAGGCAATAGGGGCACGAATGGTTTGAAGAATTAGGAGCAGGGTCTAGTGCCCCGCTTGGGAGGTAGAGAACCGGCAAGAGGTCCTCGTGTCGTTCTACTGCCGAAGGCCAGAAAGAAGGGCACACCGGGAAGGGCTCTGCGCTACGCCCTTTGCCTCTTCTGTTTGCAGGCCAAAGTGAAGCCGGGAAGGCTGGCGGTGCCGTCGGGGAAGGAAGGCGCGGAAGCCTCTCAGAAGAAGGCCATCTCCGAAGCGATTTTAAGGGCTTCGGAGGCCTTGCGAAAGCTGGCGGAAATCGAGACAGGGTCCAAGAGAGCTTCCTGCGCTGCATCGCGATCGCGGTCGAGGCATGCACGGCCAGTAAGGCTCCGAAGCCGCAATGAATGCCGCTGAAGCTCGCAGCAAGGCATCGAGAATCAGTTTCTGAAGGTCCTGTCTGCTTGCGACGACCATGTATGCAAGTTCCCGATGTCTGGAAGCATGCGACCGGCGCCCGGTCGCGCCATCTGCGGCAACCCCAATCGGGGTCTGAAGATTTGGCTTCGAGGTTCACGCGCAGCGGGGAAAAGCGATGATATCGGTATGCTGTGAAGCTTGCCATTCGGGGAATCCTACAGCCTGACACTGAACTGTCCAATGACTTGGCCCGGAGCTGTTCAGTGCACTTAAACAAGGCAGCTTCAGGTGTAGCGTCCTGCTGCAAGGCCATCGTCGTGTTTCGACATGCATCTAATGTAGGTACACACAGGTTGATGGATATAGAAGTAGGTTATATGTATGTGCGTAGTGCCCATCTACAAGATCCTGCCTGCACAATGAGCACTGGCTGGCACTTCACATTGCACTGCACTCCGTTGGAAGCATGCGCTGCTTTCGCGGTGACAGGCCCCTAATTCTAGAAGTCAAGGTGGGTCAGGTAAAAGCTTGTCAGGAAAGCCCAGCTTGCAGAGATCACTTCGGGTTTTGGGACGTGGTCTCACTAAGCTGTTGCCATGGAGAAGCTCGGGGAAAGCCCGCGGTGAGGACCAGGTTTCATGGTAGATGTGGAGTATGGACCGCAACCTGCTCCGCACAGTCGGGAGCCCGGACGCACCGGTCACGAGCTGGAAGTGTTGCTTGGCTCCTTTGGTTTCGCTTTCGCCCTTCGGATGCTGTGCTTTGACCGCCTCGCCAATAAGAAGGAGCAATAAACAGTTACAAATGTCTGCACAGGTGCGCATATGTGCGCTTATATGCACTTGCCTTTCTGTCATGTGCTTACAAGCAAACGATCAACTGTGCTCGGAGCTTTTTGTTTTGCTCGACTCTTCTCAGAGACCAGACCTGCATCGTTCCGACCGTAACATCGCCTCCGGGCGCAGACTACTTGAGGGTCCTGGTAGACCGTAAGGACTTAAAGATTAAGCCGAGCAGGCAGGAAGTCTTACGGCTGTGGATCTCACCAGCCTTTCCAACACTACAGGCCCCAAAAGCCCTTCAAGCTGCAAAACATACAGAACTAGTAAGGCCCCAGCGCCGTGAAAGAAGGAACGCTCCCGAACTTCAGGCTCAATGTTCACATGGCCGGCCGTGCTCAGCGCCGTGTAGCTCGGCACGCCGCAGCGGCCCGATTGGACCAGGCCGGGTTTCGCTTGGGCCGGGCGGGGCACGAGAGTTCTTCGAGCTCAGGGTGTTATAGGACCTGCCAGGGTGGAAATCGCGTGCTGCAGGGGGACTTTGCGCACTTTCATTCGTGAATTTTTCTGCATGTCGCTAGGATGCTGTCGCATCTTCGGGCTTCTCACATCCACATGGATCGGGTTCTCGGGACGACCAGGTCCCAGCAACGGTGATCTCGGAGGCCGTCTCTGTGGAGGAACCGTTCCAGGCTGTGGTCTCCAGTGACGAGGACGAGGAGGCAGGCTGCAAGTGACAAGGGAGAAGGCAGACATGACCGTGCTTGTCACCTACATGTTGACATGCGGGTCGCACACACATTGCCTTGCCAAGTTTCTTGCACCCTCTGCAAAGAAGCAACACGTGAAGGTGATCGTGGCATCTGCAGACGTCCATCTGCAACGCGGACTACGTGAACGTTCCAGAAGCCGACTCCGCGTCCCGGCGATCACCGGCCAAAGCGCTGTGGTGGAGCTGGATCCGCCTGCAGCCAGCGTCAGAAGTGACTTGCCCAGCTTCTACGTCCACATCTTTGAGTACGGCGACATCGCACGATGCTGCAGTGCTTGCAGGGAGTTTTTCCTCCCGGGACAACTGCGTCTAGGGTTTCTACCAGGGACAGCACCAGAAAATGATGTTGATGCATCGGTTTGGCTGCATGCGCCCCGCTGCATTCGACGATCGAATTTTGCAGTGACCTTGACAGAGACGCTGGCTTTCGCAGTGAGCCTTCCCGATGCCATTCGTGCCAGGGTAATGGAGGAGCTGGGTGCTTCGAACGCGCGGCAGAGCCAGGCCCGCTGGCCAGGCTCTGCACAGAACAGCAGTGCTCTGGCCACAAGGACACGGCCATGGCGCTTGCAGCACTTGCAGCTGCAAAGTCTTCCTGACGCCCCGGCACGGGAGCCAGTGGAGCCCTGGGCTTTGGTGCGGGTGCCGCTCCCTGTGGCGCGCTCCGAGCCCGCGTCGAGGCCTGGCCTCGCAGCCCGCGCCGCGCGCGCCGCGCTCACCGCAGGACTGGAGGCTCGCTGGGCCGCGATCGACGCACAGCTGACCCGAGCCGAAAGGGCCGAGAGCATCGAGGCCGACATGGAGCCGGCAAGGGATACCTTCGTGCAGAGACAGGTGGCCAGAGATGATGAAGAAATGAACGAGTTGCTTACGCTGGTTCCTTGTCAAAAGCTGGAGGCTCCTTGCGAGGAGCCGTGTGCGGTGTGTTACGAAAATATGACTTCCGGCGATCACGTGCGACGGTTGCCTTGTTTGCACTACTTCCACATGGCCTGCATTGACAAGTGGCTTCGCGTCAAGGCCACTTGTCCACTCGATAATCTGAATGTGCGAGACCTAATCCACAAGCAGGCCCAATAATTGCAACCGGTCTTGTGGAGAATCTGGCTCCAGCGCTGCTGCTGCGGCACATGAACACTGCACGCGTAGCTTGGTTTCTCCGACATCATCTGGACTCCGTGTGCTCGGGCGAGGAGTTTCACTCCCGAAGTATGGAAATGCGTCCGCTGGCCATCTGCACACGAGGAGTAAAGCTGACACGGCTCCTAGCCCACGGTGCACGTCTTAGTCGCAAGATCATCGTGCAGAAATGTCAAATGAATCCTGGGATGGTGCGCAAGTGTTCCGTCGCTGAGCCCCTGTACATTATACATTGTAATTGCTTAGTCTTCCTCCTCAGGTAGCAAGAACAGCAGTCGTGATGGTAGTCACGGCTAGTCACTTCTGCTGCATGCCAGGTCAAATCTTCAGGTTAATGTGAGAAATAAATGCATGCCTCCATTCACGCAAGTCCACACATCCATACTTGAGCTTACACTTGCACACACACACACACTTATTTGGAATGATGGGGTTAGCAGGAGATGTTCATAGTCCATGGCGGTACGAGGTTGTAGGCTACTCACCTGTACTTGGAAGAGTTTCCTTACTCCCTGGGTTGTTTGGAATATTTCCTTGATCATGGTTTGGTTTGGAGATGGATGGGCTTTTGCTTGGCTGGATGAAATTGAGGGGTTCCAGTATTGGCATCTGGGTCTCGACGTGCAATCCTTTGCGGTTGTGGCATGCTTGCTACATCTGCGCATGGAACATGATTTTTTCAGCGTACAAGTGGGTGTCACTCAAACTCAGTATGATGTACACATGAAATGCTTACACACTGTCGCGGCAGAGCTTTTCAAACTTCGGCAAATCGTAGTCACATGTGAGATTGTTCCGGATGCTTGGCCTGAGCGCACGAGTCGCTTACTCACTAAGTGATTGTGGTCAAGTGTTCGTCCTGGCGGAGTCGCAGCAGGCCAGTTGCAAAAGGCTACTCATGATGGTAACCAGATTTGGGAACCACTGTGCTTATCCTGCATTGTGAAGTGGAACCTATCCCCCAGCAAGACCAACGGGATGACCCCTCAGCTACACATCCATGTGCCCATGAGAGTTTGATGTCAGCACAAACTGTGAGCCTCTTCGCTGGATTCTAACCAAGCTGTGCTGAGCATTTGCCTCCGCATTGGTTTTCCTCGAACGGTATTCCGAATCAAGTGCTCCGTGCCAGACGTACCGAGCGATCTCGCATGACAGGCATGAAGAAGCTCAAATGATGAGTACGAAATACTTTAGGATCCCACCCTCCCCACTAACAGTCAAATAAAGGTTCCTTATATAACACACAGGCAGAAATGAGCACCAGGGTTTGAAGGCCCCATTGGATGAAATCTTAGCAACCTGATCGCGCTTTCAGAAACATTCACCGTGGTACTGGCGTCGCTTGGGGCTTGGGCTTGGTCAGGGCTGATTTGGCTTCTGGAATGTGGGTCTCAGGGTTTTTGTGTTTCGGACCAGGGGTTGGAGTTTAGGGCAAGCTTGTCTCAGTGTCCGGACCTGGGGCTCAAGGTTTCGGGCTCGGAGTTTAGAGTTTCGGCCCTGGGGTTTAGGGTTTAAGACAAACCCGTCAGAGTCCGGATGCGGGGCTGAAGGTTGAGGGTTCGGAGTTTAGGCCTGGGGTTTCCGGGTCTGTACGGAAGAAGCCTAGGCTAGGCCCGCAGGAATCGCAAACTCGGGCTGTTTCGCTCTCGGTAGTTTGGGGTGGGGCGCGCGGCTGCCGGGTCTGTCCAGAAGAAGCACAGGCCGCAGCTTGGCAAGCGCGGGCTGCACGTCGAAGCAGTCCGGAAGGACAATCATGAGCACAATCTCGAGCACCAGAAAAAGCACAATCATGAGCACAATCTGGAGCACCAGAAAAAGCACAATCATGAGCACAATCTCGAGCACCAGAAAAAGCACAATCATGAGCACAATCTGGAGCACCCGAAAAAGCACAATCATGAGCACAATCTCGAGCACCAGAAAAGCACAATCATGAGCACAATCTGGAGCACCCAAAAAAGCACAATCATGAGCACAATCTGGAGCACCAGAAAAAGCACAAGGATTGATACCCAATGTGACGAACATCATGACTGCAAGTATGAGTTCATGAGGCGAATCATTGGCGTTTAAATTGTAATTACTTCAAAAAGCACAATCATGAGCACAATCTTGAGCACCAGAAAAAGCACAATCATGAGCACAATCTGGAACACCAGAAAAAGCACAAGCATGAGCACAATCTCGAGCACCAGAAAAAGCACAATCATGAGCACAATCTGGAGCACCAGAAAAAGCACAATCATGAGCACAATTTTGAGCACCAGAAAAAGCACAATCGTGAGCACAATCTGGAGCACCAGAAAAAGCACAATCATGAGCACAATCTCGAGCACCAGAAAAAGCACAATCATGAGCACAATCTCGAGCACCAGAAAAAGCACAAGGTTTGACATAAAACTGTAATGAAAAGCACAAGAAAGAGCACCAGCGAAATTGGCCAAAAGTTCCAAAAGTTTGATTGAGGCAGTGTGAGTAATTGAAACTGGCCAAACTGGCCAGGGTCCTGGCCGGGGAGCTCCGGCAGGCAGGCAACTCCAAAAAAACCCTTCAGCAACGCCCCTCAACAAAGACCTGCAGTAACAGGTTGGGGGCGTTAAATTCGTCGTTACAGCCAATGCCTGGATCCTGACGGAAGCCGCCCAAGAGCGATGCATTCTGTGTTCTGTACCACACCCAGTCCAATGCGAGCAATGCTATGACAGAGATCTGGCCGATGGTTTAGGGCTTAGGGTGGGCTTCGGGCTTGGGGCTGAAAACCTAGGGTTTTCCTGAGGGTTTAAGGCTTGGGGGTTGGGGTTCGGGGTTCCGCGCGAAGTTGATGGCATGCGACCAATGTTTCATTGATTCTATTCCCGAATTGGAGGTTGTGATCACTACCTAGTTTTTTTTTTGCGGTTTTGCTGGTGCTGCTTTCTGTGCTTCTGTTTGTGGTCACTGTTAGTAGGCCGGGTGGGATCCCAAGAAATACTGATAGGTAGATAGATAAATGGACAAACGGACAGAGACAGACAGACAGACAGACAGACAGACAGACAGACAGACAGACAGGTCGATAGATAGATCAAACTAACCTAAAATTTATTTTGCATGAGCGCATGTATGTAAATATTTATATATGCATATCTAACATTATATACACAGACAGGTCTACACTTACGCAGGCATGTATATATATATATATATATGTATATATATACACACAAAGAATATGTTCATTTGTATGCACACTGTTTACTAATCTCTCCAGTTTATGGGTTTGTTTATCTAGTCTGTCTGTCTATTTGTCTGTCTATCATCTGTCCGTTTGTCTCTCTATGTATATACATATATATATATATATGGATTTCTTTTTGTATGTTTCCGTGCGTATGTGTATGAATCCAAATTAAGTAGACATATAGATAATGGAACAAGAAGAGCTGAAGCTTGCATAACTACATGTGCATGTGTTCGTATGTATGTGTGTGAGTGTGCATGTATACACAATATGTACATGCATACATGCATACATACAAGTACATCCTGTAACCAAAACACGAACTATAGAGCCCCCCGCCGCCGCCTGGAGCCTGAAGACTCTCAGGGATCCGACGCCAGCCGCGAGATCGGAGAACGAGACTGAGGCGGGTGGCTCAAGATTCAGAGCTCAGGGTTCAAGCGATTTTCAGGCCGGCTCGGTAGTATGGCCACTGCGTGTGCAGGTGGTTGGGGCTCAAACACGGCATGTGAAATTCACCCTGTATGAGTATGTGGACGAGTTGAAAAGACGGGGGCAGCTGAGGGATCATGGCAGCTGTCATACGAATGCGTCACGAGTGCATAAGGTTATCCAGGCTAAGATTTACGGCTTTAGGGCTATAGAGCAAAAGCTATTCTAACAGAGATGTTGGTTTTAGATGTGTGCCCTGGGTTCTTGGCACTGTGACTATCGTTTGCCACACGCCTCGTAAAAGCCCCTTTCTCCCTTGCCTAACACAAAGCCGCAAAGAACCCGAGTGTGATTTTGTGTTACATGAACTTGTACTGGTGCGGAACGCCTGCATGTCAAGGCCACAGGCCTGTCACCGAGAGTTCAACCGCAGTACTGTTGTTATTGCCAATCAGTCCAGAGGGGCGGACAATGGAGGCAAGCAGCAGAAAACTCCCACGTGTGTGTGTCAGGAGCTGACTGTCTCTGCCACCCCTCCTTTGTACATCGTCGGTTCCTTCAACGACTGGAGTGCAGCTTGGCCTGAATCCAGACTTAAACCTAGAAAGAGTCAGATTCAATGATTAATGTCTTGAAGTGTCAGGTTTCTCGAGCCCTATCGCAGCTTCACACCTCCATTGTATGCCTTCGCGGCCTAGCTACCAGGCATTCACCCTCAGCGAAGCCTGAACCCTATGGCGGCGGGAACGTAGTCTACAGTGGGCATTAGGATCTATGCATGGCCGACATTGCCGTTGATTTGTTGTAAGAGGTCCGGCTTTTTCGGCAGAAGGCTTTGTGATGGTGCCAGGTGCTGGTGGATGGTATTAGTGTGCCTTTCTTTGTCAAAACTATAGTCAACACCAGGCTGTCTCATTGAGCCTGTTTGGTCTACCGCCGAGCACAAGGAGTTTAACAAATCAGGAGTTCTCTTCAAGGCAGCGCAAAACCAAAGTAGTTCTGCCGAATTCGTTGTGCTGTATGCTTGAGCCACACCGCCATTTGGAGAAACCCGCATGAGCTTCTGCAACTAAAACTGGAAGCTCTGCTTTTAATCCTTGAGTCTGGAATCCTGTCCAAGTAGTGACAAAGCCTACTTGTCTAAACTTCAATCGAGAGGCGCGAGGGAGGCAGGGGAATAGAAAAAGACAGCCAGAGACCCAAACCCAAAACCATACAATGTCCATCAACGTCCCAGAGCCTCAGCGGAGGCTGACGCAGAGCTGATGCAGGGGGGAAGCCGGGAGCCTCAGGCTTCTGTCGATGCAAAGAGGTCTTTGCACGGGCTTCGGATTCCCAGAATAGGGCCAACGGCTTTTAGCCGGGCTTCCCAGAAGTTTGAAGGCGCAAAACCAAGTTGGGCTTGGTATTCTTAGAAGGGTCGGGACTGGAGGGCCTGTGGGCACGTGAGGATGATCTATGGCATCATCATCGTAGCCAAAGGGTAGCGGCGATGTTGGCAGCAGCAGCAGCAGCAGTACTAGTAGTGGTAGTGGTCGTAGTAGAAGTAGAGGTAGGAGTAGTGGTAGTAGGAGTAGGAGTAGGAGTAGGAGTAGGAGTAGGAGTAGTAGTAGTAGTAGTAGTAGTAGTAGTAGTAGGAGTAGGAGTAGGAGTAGGAGTAGGAGTAGGAGTAGGAGTAGTAGTAGTAGTAGCAGTAGCAGTAGCAGTAGCAGTAGCAGTAGCAGTAGCAGTAGCAGTAGCAGTAGCAGCAAGAACAGGTTCAGTATGCAGCAGCAGCACGTGCACGACTACCAGCAGCAGTACTAGTACTGCTAATATTGAAAACGGTGGTCGCCGCTTACTCCAGGAGCTGCAGTCACAATCCGATCGAGTGCGCCCATGGGTAGCAGCAAAGGCATGCAGAAGGAGGAGCCTCGTGTCGGCGCTTGGCTTCCGACTTCGGAGTTTGGGCCTCTATGCCCGCCTGAATTGTAGGCTTTTGGGGAAGACCGCTTCTCGTTACGTGCCTGCCTGATATTGTCACTTGCCGCCGAACTCACACCGGGACAGAGAGGGAGAGATAGCTATTCAATGTAGTGAAGTCAGGGCAATTTTTCGAGTCCAGGGCTCCAAGTTAGATTGAAAACAAGGTAAAGTGTCCGGAGTTTGCCACTGAAGGTACTGCACGTAAACCGGCCGGATGCTGTCAGGACTACCAGTACTGGCACGACTCAGCGGAGTAAGCACTGCGTATCCGTTTTGCCGGCAACGGACAATAGTGGCACTACGAGGATGCAAGGCAAACAAGAGTTAGCAGCATGGGCGGCCGATGTAATAAGCACGTGTCCTGTGCCGAAATCCTCAACCCATCGGACGAAATTAATGAAGCACCAAAAGGTTGCCAGCCACAGCCCAGGTTCCAAATTCTGGAAGACGGCAGTGCTCTGGCCAATATTATGATGAAGGATAGGAGCGATAGCAGTAGTAGGCAGGTAGGAAGTAAGGTAGTGGAAGTAGTAGGTACTGGCATTAGTGGTAGTATTCGTACCAGTATTAGTGTCGGTCTCGGTATCAGTCTCAGAATTAGATGCAGCGGCAGTGGCAGTGATTGTGGCAGCAGCAGTAGCAGTAGCATCAACAGGAGTGTAGTCGTCGTCGTAGTATAAGTAGTCGTAGTCGTAGTAGCAGCTGTAGGAGTAGGAGAGGGGGCAGAGCAGGAGTAGGAGTAGCAGTGGCTGTGGCAGTAGAGTAACAATAGCAGAAGCAGAAGCAGCAGCGCTTAAGCTGTGCCAGCAGGTCGTGGCAGTGGTCGTGGTGGTAGCGGTAGTGGCAGTAGTAGCAATAGCATAGCCATAGTAGTAGTAGTAGCAGTAGTAGTAGTAGTAGTTGTTGTTGTTGTTGTAGTTGTAGTAGTAGTAGTAGCCGCTATGGATCACAGTAGGCTGTGTAGCTTTGCTAACAAGGCTCTGGGTACCAACGCTAGAGGCTCGCAACGTGCCCCTTCTGCGAAGCTTAAGGGACCGTCCTCTTACTGAGCCATAGCTGTTCCCGGAGCCGCGTGTCGCTGTGATCTACCGGGTCCCAATTCCCGGGCCTCTGTCTGCAGTTATACAACCTTGGCATGAGGTAAGCGGTAGTGGTTTTCACCTTTTCCGCAGGGTGAAAGGAGTCGGTTCGAGTTCTCTCTTTCCGGCGAAACTAGCGGACGGCGCAATCGCCAATGCACCAGCATTCATTTGAGAGCATTCGCAAGAAGGCCTTTCGCAATGCTTGCAATAAGGTTCATAGAACACAAGAAAGCATCCCGTACCGGAATGGTACGTTGACGCCTGAACATCTGCGTCGCAGTGGACTCACCCCGCCCTCCCCTCCCCCCCTCCCAGTGCAGCCTAGCTCCACGATTTCTCCTTCAGGTCCCTCAGGTTTCTCCGCCAGTTTCCGCTCGCGCCCGAGAGGCGGTCGTGCCAGCAAGTCTCTTCGTGTTCTTTCCTGGAATGCAGGGCACCTTGGCATGCAACAATGGGCAGAAGTGAAGACATGGCTTCGCACGGAGGCCAAGTCAGTCTGTGACATTCTTGTCCTTCAGGAAACCCACTGGAGTGAGACAGCAGAATTTGATGTCGAAGGCTGGCACTGCGTAAGCTCCGCCACAAAAGGGGCTGCTCGAGCACCTAAAGGTAAAGCCACTTCAGGGCAACGCCCCAAGCAAGGCGCTGCCACGCA